ACTACCATCGGTTTTATGTCACTTTAAATAAAGGTTCTTGCCATGTCACTAAACTATATTAATGGGACCGGACACTGTTATCGCTCTTTGTCATATTCATAGACTCAAAGTGAAGTGATTTGTGGGATGGCTCACACTCTGTTAAGTATGTGCATAAATGTGCGTCTATCCACATCAAGGCAAGTGTAGCAATTCAAGCATGTACTGTGAATACAGCTGCCCCACCTGTAATTTATTTCACCTGCTTTCCCTCTCTTCCTCCAGCCCACGCTTTGTACAGTATGTCTCTCCAGCAGATGATAAACCGTGGCAGATGTTTATTTGAGTCTTGTTTGAGCCTTGTGTTGCCCCATTATCTCTGCATAAGCTAAATGCTAAATTATATTTGCCATTTTGTTTATGTTGACATAGGACATCAATCAAGCCCCCAGCGCGCGTCTCTCCCTCTCTTTCAAGCCTCTCTTTAGTGCATGGGTTAGAGCAAGCAGATGACATAAAAAAAAAAATTATTCTTAGCAGTGTAACAGGCACAAGAGAGATATGACTACCGAGGATGGAGAGGGGGGAGGTGGGGGAGACAGAGGATGTAATGATGAAGAATACAAAACGTAATATGGACCAAGTAGCCGCCCTATTTAATTTATCTAGCCATAGAGCTACAATGATTTTGCATGTTGTGACAGAGCAAGAAAGGCAGAGAGAGAGAAAAGAGTGGAGACAGATGAGGCAAAATGTATTAAAAAGCAAACATAGGCTGTAATTTTAAAAGGGAACACAGTGTGCTTTAATTGCTGAATTGAATACAAGACATTTAAAAAAGAAGATGAGAAGTAAAGAACATGACAAAGAGAGTTGAAAAACGATTACTCTGCAATGTGAGGCTGAGACCTGGGAGAACTGCTAAGGGAATCCCCCTTATAGAGAGCTTATTCATGACTGCTGACCTGACAAAGCCCCTCACTGCGAACACACACACACACACACACACACAGGTTTGTTTTTGTGAAAAGTGGGGACATCCCATAGGCGTAATGGTTTTTCTACTGTACAGACCGTATATTCTATTGCCCTACACCAACCCTACCCCTAAACCTACCCCTCACAGGAAACTTTGTGCTATTTCAGATTTTCAATACACTCCATTCTGTGTGATTTATATGCTTGTAATACCTATGTCATACCCTTGTCATTATACAAATTTATGTCCTCATTTATCAAAAAAACGCGCGCACACACACACATACACACACACACACACACACATACACATACATAGACTTTGCTTTTATGTAAAACCAATTTTAGTTACTATAGAATATATAGAAAAATCTAAATTGTGAAATTTCTGTCAACACAAAAGGGTAAAGTGACTTGCAATTTTGACTTTGATGTGTAATTGCAATTTTATCTCACATTGTGACTGAATACACAACATAATCAAATGTTAGGGGTTTGTAGGATTTTTTTAATGTTTTTGAATGAAGTCTCTTATGATCTTTCTCTTATGATATGGTCTCTTTGAAAGAAGTCTAATGAATTTTCAACAGCCATTACTCCAGTCTTCAGTGTTACATAATTCTTCAGAAATCATTCTAATATGCTGACTTGGTGGTCAAGTCTTCTAATAATTCTTAGTTTTATTATTATCAATGCTGAAGACAGTTGTGCTGCTTAATATTTTTATGGAAACATTATGGAAATATTTTTTTTTAGCATTCTTTGATGAATAGAAAGTTCAAAAGAGCATCATTTATTTGAAATATTTTTTTTTGTAACATTATAAATGTATTTACTGTGAAAATTGACCAATTAAATTAAACCCTGCTAAATTAAAGCATTAATGTCTTTAAGAAAAACTCTTACTGACCCCAAACCTTTCAATGGTAGTGTATATCTCGATATCAATACAATTATTAAGAAACAGGGTTTCATAGTATTCTCTATAACATGTTTTGTATCCTTATCCAGTAATCACATGATTGAAAATTATTTGATTAAAAAACTGCTTGTATAGCTTTTTTGTCTTTGTTTTAGGAATACCTGATTGACCAGCACAATCAGCCAATCAGAAATCTAGAAGTTTGCTAATGAAATGAGTTTGAAGCCAGACTACCTGTGTACGCAACTGTTATACGACCATTTTTGCAATTCTGTTTGGCATCGCTAGTGGCATAGAATCACTTACAACTGCTACTGTATCAAACTTTTCTTATCTTGAAGCGCGTAACATCTTCATACAAGTTTTCATAGAGGTGTACATCAGTAACAAAGAATTTCCTCGCTTGGGTTTGAGGTGTGGCATTGTTGTGCTACATGTGACAGCTTGCAGAACAGCTGTGTGAGAGAGGAGTTTGTAACATCTACTCCGACAGGGCCTGATGAGCAGTTTTAGAGGAATCAAGCACTAACAGGCTGCCATGTCTGTCTCTGCATCTGACACACTCATTAGTACGTCTCTTGACAGTGTGTTCACCCAGACTTTGATCTCTGACACAGAACTAGAGATCACCATGGAGATGTATGGATCATGCCCCACGGAAAGAGAACTAATACACTGTGTACAACAATACCATTAGACTACACACAGACACCCCTTCCTATGATATATCTGCCTAGACAAGAACTGATAATATTATGCACATTAGAAAATAATACTATCAAGACATAATTTATATCAAAATCAAAAACATTGTAAAAGATATAGTAACAAACCCCTATTTAAAAACTTTTAGAATCCTTTATTTTGTGGAAAACACAGTGATCAAAATGATTGAACAGTAACGTCTCGGTTACGTATGGTAGGTGCGGAAGGGTCGACACATAAAGTACGCGTCCTTCAGGTCGACTCCTGCAAACCAATCTCGGGGACGGATGCAGCCGAAGATGCGTTCCTGCGTCAACATCTTGAACGGTAACCGGTGAAGGGCCCGGTTCAAGACACGCAGGTCCAAGATTGGTCGTAACCCACCGCCTTTCTTGGGTACAATGATGTAGGAGCTGTAAAACCCCGTCTTCATATCGGCTGGAGGGACCGGCTCTATCGCATTGATCGCTCGGCTCCTCAGCGAAAAGCTGAATATGCGCTGCATCTGCTGCCTACTTATACTCACGCTGTGATCAGCGGCAGCTGGATGCAATAATCGCATGCCAATGTGCATTGGCTCGTTTAGTTTACACTCGAAGTAGATTGGTCTCTCTAAGCGAGATCCCAATTTCGTCGGTCATCCGACGTGACGTCGAGAGTGACCGACTGAAAGGGAACCACTGTAGCACGAAAGAAGTGGAAAAGAAGTTTGCTGGTGTGATCTTGGTCCACTCTTCTTCCAGTATCCTCCATAGTTCGGTAACTATTGTGGGTTTCTTAGCCGTAACTTTGTCGCCAAGGATTTTCCAGAGATTTTTAATCGGGTTTAAATCAGGACTCTGGGCTGGCCATTTCATTATTTCAATGTTTTCAGCTTCAAAGAACTGCTTTATCCGTTTGCAGTGTGATGGGAGCATTGTCTTTCATGAAAATTACAAGCTGATTGGGAGATGCTTGCAGGGAAGGAACTGCATGTTGCTGAAGGAGGTTCTGATAAGCATTTTCATTCACGCTGCCATGTAGCTGTATAAGAGGCCCAACTCCTGCTGCACAAAACATCCCCCCAAAGCATGACACTTCTTCCTCCACCATTCACTGACCACTTTATGCACTTGGGGTTCAGTCTTTCCCCAGTCTGACGTCTAACATAATGTTTCCCATCTGACCTAAATAAATTGAACTTGCTCTCATCACAAAAGTGAACTTTGGACCACTTCTCCTCTCTCCACACATCATGCTTCTCAGCAAAGGTGAGTCTAGCTTTTTTAACTTTTTGCTGACGAGAGTCTTGGTCACTGCAGAGTGTGTTTTCAGTCCGATTTCTCTTAAATGTGCTGAGACAGATCCATACCCTGTTCATTGCTGAAACAATTCCCCATCAAGAGTCTCCGCATCATCCTGTCTTCTCGTACATTTGTCTTACGTGGACGACCGGCCTTTTTTGTTGGACTTGAATGAATTAGTGTCATTGTAAAGTTGCAGTTTTCTAGTAATCACAGATCTGGAATGACCAGCTTCAAATAGGACTAAGCAGTGATCTTGAAATTTAGGAAATTGTAGGTTGTTCCCTAATTTTGATCTCCACTGTATGTGTGTGTGTGTTTATATATATATATATGATTTCTTTCCAAAAACAATGGCTTTACCTGTAGTGTCTTTCTTTCAAACTTGATAGAAGGTGGCTTTAATTACATTCATGGTGGCTTTACACATGGGAATAGACATAAGTAAAGTTGTGTTAGTTTGTGCGTTTACTCACACGTGTAGTGGAGGTACTGGCGAGGGTTCATAAATGTACCGGCCTTGTGTGTGTCTATCATCGATTGGTACCGGAGGATGAAAAGCAGGAAAGAACTGAGGTGTAGCTGTAAAATGAAAAAAAGAGAGTTTTTAAAAATGAATTCCGATTAAATGTTTAAACATAAATACCATGGTAGACAGTAAATTGTTTAGTAAGTGTGGATTCACAGAATTTATTGCAAACAAACAAAAAGGTATTTAAGTACACTCAGTCAAACACAAATCAGTGTGCAGGACTGTCGAAAACACACAGTTGCTTCAAGGCTAATCAGCAAAAATGTCTTCTGTGTCCTGTATACTATGTCCTACATGTGTTTGTGTTCACATACTGTAAGCAGTGTTGGATTGTGTGCTCTGCTGCATTTCAAAAGCTTCAAAAAATGATTAATCACAACCGTTAGAGAGAAGGTGGGAGGAATTTATCAAATCTACAGATAACACATTAAAATAATTGGATAAAATCGGATTTAAAAACAAGTCTATATTTTGACCTGATAGAGGAGGTATAAACAAGTATAATCAAGTATTAAACATCAGCATAAAACATCTTTCAAAGCAACTCAACATTTGAGTTTGAATCACTTTCAGTTCAAAATTAACCTCTAGGCAGTTGAAAAATAGATTACCAAAAATCACATTGTATTTAATCTAAAACTAACATGACAAAAAAAGTTGTAACTATATTTTCATTTCTCAAGCAAAGCAAATTTTAAAAGTTCATTAAAATCAAAATATCTGTTGGGGGGGTTGAGGCGGTGGGTGGTTGATTGGTAGGTTAGGACTATTCCAAGGGCCCTGATCAGAGAGGTGTGAGTCGTACTTCATACATTGCTACACTATAAAAATTGTTTGCTCACAAAATGTAGCTAAAAGTTTGCTAATATGACCACAGGTTTGGAGAGAATGAACATTTTTCACATCTTTTAAATATATAGTGTTGGAATCAGAATGTAATACTATGGTAATCTGATCAATCGAAACTGGTATTACCATGATACTTTTTGTTACTGAAATGGAGAGCATATAAAGTGAAACCTAGAAACAGTAATTAAGAATTTCAGTGGGCTCTGGCACTGTAACAAGGCAGGGTACAGCAACGGACGTGTTTTTTAGCTTGTAAACATCTGGCAACTGTGTGCCACAGTGTTTAAGGGCTGTGCCCAGGGACCAATGCCTAACATCTGGGTCCAATGCTATACAATACAAGCTGCCAAATGCAGCACTAAGATCAGGCGGTCATGCAGTGGGCTCCACACATTTGTAAAGCCCTGCTTTACTCCATTCCTCACCTTACATTTAGCACTGTTAGCGTTAGCGTTCCATGTGACAGCGCTCAGAAAGCTAATTGGTGTAAACTGCAGGTACCGCAGCTCTCATTCAAACACTAGTCCTTGAGAAAATCACATCCAATATGATCAAAAAGTCCAGAAAGCCAGAAGAAATTTGACACAGGACCCAAATGTGTTTTTGAGGGCTGTATTTCTTGTCCTTGAACTGAAAGAACATAGAAAGAACTCAAAGAGTGATGCATTAGAAAGCTGAATTCATGACCAACTGCATGCTGGGAAACATATATAAACAGAAATGAGAAATATCAGTTAAATAATAAATTAGTTAAATAATAAATACAATTAAAACCACACTACAGGACAATACAGTGATATCTTCCAAAGAGATCAGATTTGTGCATGAAAAATTGAAGTTACATTGACACAACATTACTAGTTGTTCAGATGTTCTGAGTATTTTTGTATGTATTTTAGTCTAATTAAAACTCTTATTATTATTTTCTATCCCCATCTCTCTCTCTTTGCTCTTCCTTTATCACTCCACACAAAATATTTACTCTCTATACACTGTACAGCACTGCTGTAAACCTCCCATTTTCTCTCGCATTGCTATCTTTCAGCACTTGTTTATTCCCCTCCGTTCCTGTTCCATCACTCATAATATTCTGTTCATCTTTCGTCAACACTTGTCTCTCCCTTACTCCTCAAAAGTTTTATGCTCCCAAATTCAGCTTCCTCCACTCCATCACGGCATGAGTCGCTCATTCCAGAGACGCTCTGCACTCTGGCAGTCCTCCTCCCCCACGTACCTCTATGCTCCTTCATCAACCTTCGCTTCATGGCCTGTATCAACCCCACCATCTTTCCACACCAGTTCTTTCACTTTTTGTCTGGTTCCTTTTATTAGGTGGGTCTTTGCTATTCACTACCTCTCGGTGTAATGGTAATGACAAACGTACTAACAACTATTTAAAAAAATATATATACACATAATCTTAAGTTCTTCATAATTTTCTTTTTAAAATAGTTGTAATTTGAAGAAACTTTTAATAATTTTCTCTTTGTTTAGCAAAATTGTCTGGGTAAGGGACAAGTAAAATAAACAATTTAACACTTTAATAGAAATTCTTAAGTTCTTAGTAATTTCCTTTTTAAAATGTATTTAAGCTTTTAATACATTTATTTTGTTTAAATAAAACAAATAATAAATAAAGATAATAACGTTAAAATGTTCTCAACAAAAAATTACATATACATTAAATAAAACAGTAAGGCTAATAAGATCCTAAAACTATAATAACACTTTTCCCTGTAACATAATTTAAGAGGAACAGGAAAGCATCAAACTGAAGAATCACCCATATCTGACCCCATTCATTAACTTTTTCCTACTCTTTCCCCAAATCCATGACTCTTAACTTTTATAAAGAATATCTCTTTGAATTTGAGACTTTAGTCTTTGCAACTTTACAGATCTTCTTTATGCACCAAGAGCTTGTAACACTCCAAAGAGAAAGGAAAACTTGAAATCGCATAATTTGACCCCTTTAAATTAACTCCTCTCTCTTTCCTTCTCTGTTTCTCCGTTCTCTGTCTTTCTGCATGAATGACAGATGTTTATTTGACTCTCACTCTCTTGTTTAAATTCAAAGGGACTGTATCTAATTAGACTCTGCCATTGTCAAAATTATTAAATTATTAAATTAGTCTTCTTTTTCCTGGCAACATTTCAAAAGAAATATCCAGGGCCATGAGAGAACAAAATCAAACATTTTACACAGAACAGAAAAGGGAATATATATATATACATATATCTCCAGTAACCCATATTCCTCTCTTTTTCTTAATAGAATTGTCACTGCTACACTTAGTAAAGACCGTATTTGTGTATTTGTGAAATTGTTTGTGAATAAAATAAAGGTGCATATCTGTATAAAAATTATGATGAAGTAGCACACTTTGTTCCTTTGAAAATTGCCCATTGTCTTATCATAATTCAGAACTGAAGTGGATTTAAAGCTTAGATAAATGTCTATGATACTACTTTGTAGAAAAAGAGAAAACACACACCTCAGTAAAGACATGCTATAGATAACAAGCAGTTTAGTTCGCTATTGAGCTTCTTTATCAAGCAAAAAGTATGTTTCAAATCTTCATTTAACAGTTTTTCTAAGAATAAAATTACAATTCTGTGATTTTCTTGTAAAGTAGAAAAAATCAGCAACTGAGTCATAATAGTTCAAAGAGTACAGCTCTTATAAATGATTACTATGTAAATAAATAAATATTAATACAAACTATTAAAGGCACATATTCCCATGGCTATCTGAAATTCTGCACTTTATAAGTACTTTTATTATATATATATATATATATATATATATATATATAATATATACTGTATACACTGTATATATTATACTGAAACAAT